AAACGTACAGTCTTGAAATTTGATAAGCAGATTCCTTTCGTAAAGTAGAGAACCGCTACAAAATGTGTTTTGCGAATATCAACTACCAAGTTTAATTTCGGGAGTTTAAGAGGCGCAATCGATGAATATTTCCATTTTTAAACTATTTGATCATCCTGCTTGAAAACTGGTAGGCATGTTTCTTTCATGGAATAGAGTTCCTCTAACAAAGAGTGAAACGAAAATTGACCCCTAAGGATGTTTGCGAGGGGTCAAGAGGAGTTACAGAAAAAAATTAATGTTTTTAATTGTTAGACCCATATACTTGAAATTTGTTAAGCATGTTTCTTTTGTTGAAATAGAGATCCACTAAGAATGTATTTTAAGCAAATCAAGTTCTTAGGGGGGGGGGTGCAGGGGGTTACTGGGACGTATTGACAAAAAAAATTACTTTTTTCGAGCTACAAGAACTATAATAATGAAATTTGGTTTGCATTTTTCTTTTGTTGAATTGAAATCCTCTAAGAGCGGTTATTTTGGAAAACGGCTCTCAACGGGATTACGGGGATATTGATAGTAAAACTTCTTTTTTTCTGTTAGATTTAGACTTGAAATTTGGCTTGCATGTTCAATTTACGGAGTAGAGATCCACCGAGCATTGGTTTTGCTGGGAATCCACTTGGTTTTTGGGTTACGAAAGAGCAAATATCATTCTATACTTCAATTTTAGAGATTTTTAGAAAATACAAATTAGATGAGTTCTGCCCTTTTTTTTGCGACAGTTAAAGGTATAAGTATATTTTTCAATACAATCGAATTCTTAATGCTAGGACTTAGATATCAATTTATACATATATATAAGCAGTAAAAATTTATAAAACATCATGAAATACCCAGCGAAGCGGGCGGGTAACAGCTAGTATAAATATATTTTCCATTGTTCTTTAAAATTTCAATGCTATCTCAGAATGTTTGTTCAAATACAAGTTTGCAGTCATCTAACAAGTTGAAACCTTTCGGTAAAATTATTTATTAAAACAATTTAATTTATATATAATGTAACATAAAACAATCGAAACAAAAGAAAACTTTTTTTAAATTTAAAAATCTTGTAAAAGCGAAGCCGTGTAAATTTAGAGCGTGCAAACCTACAGAGATACACTGGTGTCCAAAAGTTAAACATAATTGATAATTATGTGAATAAAGAAGGAACTGTAAATCAGAATGGCGGGAAACGTGATATGCGAGTGTAAAATGGTTATAAAATAAGGAAGCAAATCAAAAGAATGATAATTAATTTTATTATCCAAAGTAGCAGTTTGAAAGAAAACTGAGCATAGCAAGGATTCACACTTTAAAAAAAATGAAAGAAAACATTAAATAAAATACTGATGCTGCAGTTTAAAAAGGCGTGTGGTCACCTCTAAAAGCCAGGCACGCTGCTCAGCGATTTACCATACTTGCTATGAGATGATGAATGAGTTGTGGGCTCAAACGGTTCCAAGCTTATTGGAGAGCTCTCTTCAGTTCTGTAACGGAGCTTGGGGGGTGCGAAAGGGCTGCAATTTGTCTCCCGAGCATATCCCATAGATGCTCGATAGGATTTAAATCAGGGGAGTTCGCAGGCCACGACATGCGCTGGATGTTTTCCGTTTCAAGGAAGTCATCAATCAGCACCGCTCGGTGACATGGCGCATTATCATACATGAATATGAAGTCGGGACCGACAGCACCTCGAAACAAGCGAACATAAGGCTCAAAAACTTCGTCTCTGTATCTTTGAGCAGTCACAGACCCCGTATCAAAGAAATGGAGGTCTGTGTGGCCGTCCATCATGATGCCTGCCCATACCATTACTCCCCTTGATGGAAAATGTCTTTCCGTTATGTTTCTTGGTTCAAAACGTGTTCCACGTTCTCTCCATATCGTTACCCGCCGAGAATCACTACTCAGACTAAACCGGGACTCATCACTGAACATCACATTGGCCCACTCTCACACACTCCAATGTTGATATTTCAAACTCCAGTTCAAACGAGCACGTTTATGCGCAGACGTGAAAGGAATGCAAAATGCTGGTTTTCTGGCATACAATCCAGCATTATAGTCTCCTGTAAACAGTTTGTCTCGAAATTCGTATTCCTGTGGCGACTGTGAGCGCCGAACCCAGTGCTCTGGCAGTACTGCCCTCTGACGTCGCGCACTTATTACCAGATATCGGTCTTGGCAAGGGGTTGTGACTCTTGGTCGACCTGATACTGGTTGTCGGGTAACATCTCCCGTTCTTTGAAACCTCTGCCACAGTCTTGAGATCACAGACTGGTCCACATTCAAAATTTCGAGACACTTCGGTTTGTGATCGTGAGGATTGCAGCATTCCAGCGATTCTTCCTTTCGTAAACATGTCCAATTGGCATCTTTGTGCCATCATTCACCTTGTTTGATGGTTAACAATGTTCCTTTGCACAGCAGTTGCACGAAACTTGTCTGAACTGCCTATGCTGCGTGAATCGGTTTCTCCGCTTTCCGGTATGCGCCAGTGTTTCGCGCAGGACGTAGTCGGCTGAAAAGTTTTGCATAAACCCAATGTTTCTTCTTCACCCAATTAATATCCGCAGGAAATTTGGAATAATTTTACGAATATTTACTCCATGTGTTTCGCATTTTACGATTTATGCTTAACTTTTGGACGCCAGTGTAGATGTATGACTTTATACTTAATCTAAAAAGTTGATTACCTGTCATTGAAGATGTGAATTTAAATTCAAGTTAAGATTGTTAATGCCAAAAAAATGCTTAGTAAAAATGTTAAATAAGGTACTAAAAAAATAATTTTTTAAAGTTTTTTCCTGCAAACATGTAAAATATGTAAGGGAAGATAATTTTGCGTCATATTACAAAGATAAAAGGGGGGATATACAGGGTGAGCGGTGGAAACTTCCTGTTTTGAAAATGCAATAACACGCACTACATGTTTTATTTGATTTTATTGTTACTTTCCGCCTACCACACAACATTGGAACTTTGAATTTACACAGTTTTAAATACAATATCTGTTAAATGTCGTCCTCCATTATCAATACACTGATGCAGTCGATTTAGAAAATTTTGAGTCACCTTTTCAAGCATTTCGACCGGAATATTGTCAATTTCGGGTCGGATGTTGTTCCGTAGGTCTTCCATGGTCTTGGAGCGATCTTTGTAAACCAGTGACTTGAGATAAGGCCACAGAAAGTAGTCAGGAGAGTATAAATCAGACCAGTACGTCCCCAGGCAAGGAGATCAGTCATTCAGAGAATGCTAGTCTGTAAACCTCCATGGAAACCATGGAGGTGTGGGCTGTGGCCCCATCTTGTTGTTACCACACACGTTGTCAAGATCCCTTTCTTGGAGAGAGAGAGCGGGTAAGAAGAATTGTTAGATTACTGTTACATACCGGTCTGAATTGACACACGAACTCGTTCCACATTTTCAAGGGTTCTAACGGTTTTCGGAGGTCCTTTCCTTTCTTTGGTGACATTCCCCTTTGCTCGGAAGGCATCCATCCACATTACAACCCATTTCCGATCAGGAACATGACCTCGTGGACGAATATCGAAGTAACGCATCGACCGAACGACTGTTAGAGAAATATGCCACCACGGCAAAAGCGCGCTGCTGCCTCGACCGCAACATGTTTGAGACTGAGATGGGCGGGCACACAAATATCCCACTCCCCCTTCCCCGGAACCCTCCCCCACGCCCCTCCCTACGAGCATCACTGCAACATATTCAAAACAGGAAGTTCCCGTGTCCCACCCTGTATATGCATGCTGTTAAAAAATAAGTAAAATGATGATCGTAAAGTAGAATTTAATGGAGTATTAAATATTTATTTTTTCCATGATATTGTTTTTATTATATACTAATATTTATTATATACTTATTTTAGAACTAAATAATCAGTAAATGCAATAAGATCCTCAAAAAGAAGTCTGAAATTGTTAGTTTTTACTTTACTATAAATGTTTTGGTCTGAAACAGTTAAAATTTGTAGTTAGCATGAATTGAAGATGAAACTAAAACTATGTTCTCAGCAGCAGATTAGCGTTACAAATATAACAATTTTCAGCTCCTTGAGATTTCGGAAAAATAAAGTCTTGGCAGCTTTTTTTAATTTAAAAAGATGATGCATTTCGTCCTAAAGATAAATAAAATCACAATCTGTTTTTGGATACAGAAGGAAGAATATTAAAGAAATATTACTTAAATTTGTAGGATGAATAAAAATGTATTTTTTAATCAATAGAACATTTCTTTAATAACCTTGCAATTTTTATTTTAAATTATTAAATTCAGAGAAATAACACAAATACATCATGTAAATCCTCACATGAAAGCTATAAACTTTTAATAAATATTTTAACTCAAAAACAGTAGTTATATAATTTAGTACAGCAAATTTCAACTATTTATGAGAATAGAAAATTTCAAGCTGAGAAAATTCAAGAGAATTATAGTAAAAATATCGTTAAGTTCTCTTTTTAAGGCAGCGTACTTCAAATTTATCATATTGTACATAGATATCAAGATATACACAAGAGAAACTTTTACATATTACTTACATACTGTTGTTCAAAATTAAGAGACCTTTTAGATTTTGACTATTATCTCTAGAATTACTAGATAGATTTTAATAAAATTTGGTATTCATATGGGACTAATTTTATGCAAAACAAGTAATATAAAAAAAATTAACTCAATTCCTACTTAGGTCAAAAAAAGAAAAAATTTATTTTAGTTACTTTTTTATTAAATAGTTACAAATTAATATAAATATGTATATACATATGACAGAATCACAATATATTTAAGGGGCAAAATAGAAAGCGATTTTCCTTGCAGTTTTCCATTTTTCTTTCTATGTAGGGTTTTGGATTGTTTTTTGTTTTGTTTGTTACTACTTATTTATTAGTTAAATTTAATTATATTCAAACAAAATAGTATGTAGAAAAAAGAAATCACATACTCAGAAATTAGGCCATCCCAGGAGGGATTCGAACCCACGACCTTTTGGAATAGAAGCCCAACGTGCTATCCACTGCACTACAGGGACGCAAAGAACGGTTTTCCTTTCTATATATGCTGTTGGACTATTGTTTTTTGTTACTATTCATTCCTTTGTTAATCTAATTAATGAATTAATATTTGAAAAAACTTAAGTAACATCAAGTGTCATCCACTACAAATTTAAAAAATGTATTTGAACTTGAATGGATGAATAGAAAGTATTTTATTAACGATTGAAAATTTGAACAAGATATATATAAAATATAGAGAGAGTGAACCAATAGTATAGGAATTGAAAAAATAACCATTCAACAGTTAAAATACACACTCATTATTATCGTGTGTAACACTCATCGAAGTCTAAAGGTATAAAACAGCAGTTGCAGAATATGACAAAAGAAAAATTGGTTTTTAGTGGATTATGGCCCCTTTAGTGAAACAGGCCTCACACCGTGATTTTATACCTGAAATAAAGGAATTTATGAGTTCCTGTGTCAAGTAATCCCTCTCGTTCAGAAACTCTATTTTCAGGCCTTGGATGGTTCTCGGAAAGGGTTTTCGAGTTTCAATTACCCTTGCCATGGCGTCTCAGGCATGTTCTACACCAGTGGTCTTCAAACTGTGTTCCAGGGAACCCTGGGTTTCCATGAGGCATCCCCAGGGATTCCCCGAGTCACAATAAAAATATCAAAAAGAAACTTACAAATGTGTATGAAAAACAGATTCACATTCTCTACGAAGTTTATATAACCACAAATATCTAAAGCTTTCATCTAAATGACTGAAATTGAACATTTTATTTGCACATAACTATATTTTGCCTTATTTTTTAAACTTTTATTATGATATTATAAAAAATATTAAAACGTTTTATCTTTAGATATATATATTACCTACTATATATATAAATATAAAGTATAATTTATATGAATATTTTATTGTTTACTAACCCAGGTTCGACAAGATAATTTTATACTCGTTAGTACAAACTAAATAGTTTTTAATGGGAAAATGCATCTTTCTGAATTTGTAGGAAAAACTCCTACAAAAAAAGGAGAGGGAACAATTATGAACGTATCAATTGATTCGATGTTAAAAATCTAAACTTGAGCATGAATACTTCCTAAATTTTAGGTTGCAAATTCATGCAAATACATACAGTATTTCTAACTGAGTTATAAACATTTTAATGTCATTCAGAACAATGCGTTTCAGTGAAAAATATTTTTCAACGTGAGTGGCTATAAAAATAAAGTGTAGAAACAAATGAAACTCAGAATATGTCGTGTGATTTCATTTAATCTCAATAGACCTAGACATCGACAGTTTATGTGAAAAAATGCGAGCACCTATCCCAGTTACTAATCATAATGTATGAGTAAATGACACTTGGATCACAGATTAATATCATTAATGAGTAAATTATATTAAAATTACATTAAAATTTTTAAAAAATAAATACAATACTTTTTAATTGCCTTTAAATAAAGTACCTATATAGCATGTTGATCTATTTAAAAAATATTATTTTAATATATATTCTTCTAAATGTATGTGTGGAATACAGTTCCACGAAAATACTTTCTAATTCTAGGGGTTCCACAAACACACCTTCGAATTTTAGAGGTTCCACAAAAACACCTTCGAATTTTAGAGGTTTCACAAAAACACCTTCGAGTTTTAGAGGTTCCACGAAAACACATTCGAGCTCTGGGGGTTCAGTGAGTTTAAAAAGTTTGAAAACCACTGCTCTATACGGATGAGGTGTGGAGACCTAACTGGCTCATCCATTCGGCGAATATCCTCACTTTCTATAAATTCCAGAAGATGAGATCTATGTACTTCGCGTTGCCATCCATTAAAATAAAATCAGGGCCAACTGCACCTGTGAAAAGGTGAACATAGGACTCCAAGACCTCATTCCTATACCTCACAGCAGTCACATTACTTCTTGCAAGGACAGAGGCGTGTGAGGCCATCCAACGTGTTGCCTGCCAGACCATCAAGCCTCGGCTATTGTAATAGTCGATTTCTCGCCCTTTGGAGAGAAGGTAGTGGGTCCCTGATTCTCTCCATATGAAAGAGGGGGACCATACCATCTATTAATCAATATCTTTTGTTATATTCTGCATCTGCTGTTTCATACCTTCTGACATGAGCGTGTGTATTTTAACTGTTGAATGATTATTTTTTTGCATTTTTTTATATCAACCCTATATGTACATGATAAATTTTATTAAAATCTGTCCTGTAGTTCTAGAGGTAATTGACAAAATTTAGAAATTCTTTTAATTTTGAACACCAGTGTATATTTTATACAGGCTTTAATTCACAATGTTAAAATCCTTCAAGCGCGCTCTCTTTACCCTTGCAAACCAGTTAAAAATGTTAATATAAGCGATTGTTTCTTTTAAATAAAATCAATCCTCTAATTTAGCATTTTGATTCATTGCTGAAATATTCAATAGCTGGTAATTTAGTCTAGTTTTATAAGATTTTATTTTTAGAATTTTCGGGTAAGAAGTAAATTGACTTTGTGATGGATGTCCCCTGACATCCATCAATGATTGGGTGTTAGAATGAAGAGAAGCCATAATCAAAACAAATAAATTTGTATTCTATTAATCAATTCAAATGACCCAGGGTAGGAAATGCACTTATATTAAAGTATTGGAGCAAAAGCGAGGTAGACGAGATATTTAATATTTAATTGTAGAATCATTACTTTTGGAACGTTTGGTAATCCTCGTTCTAAATAATCGCAATTCCTTTCTGAGATAATTGACTTCTGGTCGATTTGATTCTAATTTAAACATCTAATTGGTTGATCCATCCATTATCAATATTATACATTAATTAATCGACGAGTCATTCTCATCTAGCTTTCAATACTTTACGTTAATCACTAACTTCTATCCTCTAACCTTTCTTTCTGGAACTTAAAAGTAAATGATTAAATATACGACATGATTTAAATAAACCATATCTTCTTCGGGAGAAAGTTTTCAATTGAAAAATATGTATAGAAATAGGTTTACCCCACAAGAGGATTAGTATGAGGCTCACGAATAGACCCGTTACAATTTCATATATATAGAAAAAAATTTAATTACTATTATTACTTGATTTTGAAAATAACTTTGTTTTAGATATGCTTTATAATTTATCAGAATAGTATTTATAAAATCGAATGTAAAAATAGCTTGATATCAGAAAACCCAGTTTTTGATAAATCTGTATTTAAATACATTAAATTCAATGGTAAGTAATAATTAATCATATAATATTTCACGAAAATAGTACTCATGATACCTATTGTATGGGAGCCTTACATTAACGAGCTCAAATTAAGGAACAATTTTTCCTAAAGAGAATTGTCTTATCTCGTAGAATAAAAGAAATGGAAAAGAAGAAAAAGAATTTGAAGAAATATATGGCCGTGATAGTCCGAATTGTTGTGATTAGAACATATTTTGTTCCTTAGTTTGATTCATGTTTTCACTGAAGATAAAACAAAAACAGTATCGCTCAACGGTGATCGAAAACTATTGGACAGGTTTGGCGATAAAGAATATAGGTGAGAATTTCTGTATTTTTTTGCATAGGACAGGAAAAGAAGGAAGTACAAGCCATCGAGGAGGAAGTATTTTTCCTATTTCAAGATATTTTCAACATACCCAGTTGAAAGAGGAGAAAATAGAGTTGTGTTTTTCAGTTTTGCTTAGTAAAACAAGAAAACCATATTTTTATTATTTCTGCTATACTTTAGATTCAATTTTGCGCAACAAATATTTTATATTTAATTCAGAAAAGTCATTTTTGATTTTGTGTTTTGCCAGTTTTACAAAAGAAACCTAGATTTTAAGACAGTTATTTATTAGTTGTTCTCTCTCTCTAAATTCTTGTTAAAAAAATTAATTGAATTATTTGCATCAATATTTATACATATAACGAAAGGAGGTTAATGCCTTTCTCTTGTAAATATTTTTATTATTTAACTAAATATTGGCATGTCTAAATGATTTACATGCATTAATATACCCATTTCATACGCATATAAACATTTGCTGTATTTTTGCTTTTTTGAGTATTTATAGTGATAATATTTTAATAGACTCTGATAATTTATATTCTTGGATTCTTAAAGAAAATCCTTACTGCATGCCCTTAAAACAGAAAATAGAGCGATAACCAAACAAAATCTTCTCAAGAAACGTTGAAACCAATTATATTTGCCTACATGTTATGCTTTTGGTTCTCCGCATGTTCTTTGTAGAGTCCGCCTTATTGGAACCAAATGAGTCTTAAAGGCAATATATATAAGCATTTCCCTCATGTGGTACTCACAAAAAAAAAAAGAATTATCATAAATAATTTGTTACTTCCCCTGGTTTTCTTTAAAATTTGGCAAATATTTTCTTAATATTGATTTAAAAATTATTTATTTTTTACTTAACATTTCAGCATTCTAAATAAGATTTTACCTCCAGAAATTAGGATTCAACTACTATTTTGAGTCTAATACGATAAATAGAATACGAACTATGAAATTTGGATGAATTGTTCTTTAAGAAGTTATTCATAAAAATTTCCCATTTTTAAAATAAAGAATGGCTTACACCGTAAAAATGGACTGTTTGATAAAAATATAAATCATAAATGTTTGTACAAATATATTAATTATATGGGTTTTTACAAAGGATGCTCCAATATCTACATGCAATGTTGGCTTTTCGTACTCTAGTTGTCGGCCACTAGGGTAGGAAGCAACTCTTAGAACAACTTCTTTTCCACCTTATTTAACGACCTTAAAGAAAGATTTAAAACAATTATCTGTCTGCGAAGGTATTTTCAAGGATGATTTTCATCAGATAAAATCTCTCTCTCTGTATATTCCATTTTATCAAAGCTTTAATCCTTAAGGTATTCATCAACACGCCTAGCTTTTAGCAGACGGAGATTATCATCCGTTACGCTGAATTCAAAACCAATAGATCACCAGCATGCGAAGATCTCGTCCTAATATATGACAACAATCAGTGTTTC